CTTGCAGGGCCAAGGACAGGTGGTGACCTCAGGCAGCTGTCCACCCAGCCCCGGGCCACTGGGGCACCTGGGGGCGGTACAAAGGCCAAGGTCACACACAGATCTTTGTAAACTGATTTAAAGTGCGCCATGCCAGAAATGGAGAAGGAGCTCATGAATTTCAGGTGCTGCCCGAGCTCTCCTGTCCCCCCCCGGCCCCCCCCCTCTCCCCCAGCTCCCAATGTCAATGCTGCACATTCATTTAGCTGTATACAGGATCTCAGTCCCTTATTTACAGAATCATCCATAGCAGGATTTTCCACCTTTTTCTCCTGATGGCACACATAAGCTAATTACTAAAATTCTGCGGCACACCAAAACTATGACTAAAATAAGTATAATTTTGATTCATTCACACTGGACGGCTGTTGTCATTTGTTTATTTGACAATTGAAGGGAAAATAGGTCAGTGCCCCTGACTCAAAGTCAGGATGGCATGTTTTAAGAAATCTTGTGACCCACCAGGGTGCTGTGGCACACCCGTTGAAAATCGCTGCTCTGGAGGGTTAGGTGATGGAGGAAACAATATGCTTTGGTGATACGCACACATACGGAGATTGACAAGGTTTGGGCTTGGAATCATTTTCCATTGTTCATTTGACAAAAACCATGATGCCAGGTGCCCGTCAGCAAGATGGGCGTGGCCTCCTGAAGCAGTGTCAGGCCTGTGGGCTTAAATGACCGCACGAGAACAAGACATCTCCACCTTCACTGCCCACCGCACTTCCTCATCCCTCGCTCCAGCTCCCCTGCCACTCCTCACTCTTCACTGAGCCCACCTCTGCCCACCTCAGGGCCGTGGCACCTTCTGTGCCCGTGGCTGAACAGCCTCTCCGGAGGGGTGTGCTCAGGCTTACTGCCTCGAGGTCTCTGCTCAGATGTCACCTCCCTGACTGAGTGTCTCCTTCCCCTCCGCATCCTTCCCTCCTGGCTGCTTTGTCTCTTTCCCCAGCACTCACCACCTGCTGGCATGTCCTGTGTGCATCTGCCTGACTGTGTCTGTCTCTGCCCATGGTTGTGAGTGTGAAGACAGTGTGTGCTTGTTGCACCCACCTCTGTAGCCCTGAGCCCAGAGCAGCGTGGCATCCCCCAGCGTGGTCAGGTCTAGAGCTGGTGTCCTGCTGCCTTCGCGCTGCTGGGAGGGGGTTCTGCTTAGCTCCCCTTGGGCGTCGTGTGTTTGCAGTGCAGGAGGTCAGCCCTGCTCCACTGTAGCTCAAGACCAAGTCTGTTAGTGTCCCTCACTCCTTCCTCCTGGCCTCCCAGCTCCTTCAGGCGCCGGATCTCCTTTTGCCCCCAGTGAGGAAGACCGCAGTGTAGCCCTCGGCACCCTATTATCCACCATGTTTCGGTCACTGAGGATCCGCCTCCTGCAGCTTGTTAAACCGGGTGCCTGTAGCTCGTACCATCCCTGCCCTGTTTCTTTACCTTTCCATCCCTCTAGTGCAGAGCAGGCCAAGGAGCTGATAAGAAGGGCAAGCAGGGAAAGTTAACGCAGCCTCAGCCGGCTGAGCAGAATCCCCAGGTCACCTTGCAAGCAGCTCATTACTTTTCTGTCCCCAGGAGCAGCACTGGGCAATGACAGAGCCCATCAAAGTCAGAAAATGGCCCATTGCTGCTTACCACGCAGGCCAGCCAGCCATGGGTACTCGAGGGTTCCTGTGGGTGCCCTTGACCCCCGCCCTCTTCCCCCTAGGGAAGCAGCTTGGGCTGTACTAGACCAGCCCCTGGGTTCTGTTGATCATGCTTCTTAAAACTGGAGTATGTTATGAACAAATAAAACTTAAGGGGGTTTCACAAAAATTTCATATTTGAGCTTTTCCTGAAAAAATAAAGTGGCAATACTAGGAGCACAGGCCAATATGGCAGAGCCGGGCGCTGGCTCCTTATTGAGGGGGGCCCAGCCCCACGTTCAGTCTTACTCGGCGTGCCTGCCTCTGGGGCCTGGGCGTTTGCATTCACAGCCCCTCTCCTGGGTGCCTGGGAGAAATTGGTCGTGCCCCATTTTAGTTTGGCTTTTCCGTAAAAACCCATAGTCCCATCACGCAGTGCCTGGCTGTACTGGAAGTCCCCCGTGGAGCTGCCGTGCCCCCTCCCTCCCCTGCCAGGGCCACCCTTATGCTGCTACTTGAACTCTCATCAGACACAGCGTTCTAGCAGCGCATAGCGGAGGTCAGGTGCTCCAAGAGGAATCTCCAGTCATCAGCAGTGATGGTTTCCCGAGGTCATGAGGCTGGAAGGATGCTGTTTTCCAACAAGCCTTACACCAGGTCATATATATATGACCCCCGCTGTGCCCACTCAGCAGCTCCACTTTGATGCCAACACATCCCGGACCCTGCCTGTCCAAACCTGAGCCCCGCTCCTTCTAAACCTGCTCCCCAGCCCTCCCCAGCTCATCTGAACGCAAGTCCATTGTCCATTTCCTCAGGCCCAAAGCCAGTCACCTTTAGTCCTATCTCCCCCGAGCCTCACTGACGCTGTCAGGAAAGCCTGCTGGCTCTGTCTTCTGGGAGGTGCAGAAGCTGCGCCCCGTAGCCCTCCGCCTCTGCAGCCATGCCCCCCGCACAGCTGCGCCGGCCGCTGACTGCCTCTCTGAGCTCACCCTCACCTCCCTCCAGTCTGTTCTCCACCTGCGTCAGCTCAGGTCGTCCCTGCTCCAAACCCTCCCGTGGTTGCCCGCTGCACTCAGGAATGGCCTTACCGTGTCCTCCAAGGCCCTGTGTGACCTGGCCTTCCCGCTGTGCCAGCCCAAGGTGCCTTGCTGCCCCACGGACACACTACAGGCCTCTCGCTCTGCCCTGGTACCTGGGCCATGCTTCCCTGGTGCTCCCTGACGCCCACCCTCCACCCCGCACCCTCATCTCCTTTGCCCTGCTCTGCTTGTCATGTTTTTCCATGTCATTTTCTGCTATCATCCTGTACTATTTATCTTTCTCTAGCTATTGTGTCTCTCCCCAAGGGTGGGGGGTCTTGATCTGTCTGATCACTGCTATGTCCCCAGTGCCAAGAACAGACCTGGCAGAGTGGCATTCAATAAACTCAGTAGGTAAAAGCCTCTCTCAAGATCCCAATAGAAATATGTTGAGCTTTGTTTTAAGAAATCATTGAAGGATCTTTTTTAAAAAATTGATTTCTAGAGAGAGGGGAAGGGGGAAAGAGAGAGAGACATTGACATGAGAGGAAAACACTGATTGGCTGCCTACTGCATGCACACCCCCTACCTGGTATCGAACCCACAACCCAGAATCAACCAACAACCTTTCGGTGCACAGGAGACACTCAGCCAACTGAGCCACACCGGCCAGGGCAAGCATTTCTATTTTAAAGTGGAGAGTTTGTTTGAAACATAGAAAGAACCCAAATATAAACAATTGAGAGGATGTTCTAGTGAGCCACATGTGTCCATTACCAGCTACTTTCATTTCCTCTACTCCCCAGATGATTATGAGGCAAATTCAAGTCATCATATTATGCTGTAGATATTTTAGCATTTTTTTTCAGCTACATAGTACTCCACCATTAGGTGGATGTACCATAACTTATTTTATTCAACCAGTCTTATTGGACGCTTTTTGCATATCACTTTATACTTTATGAAACCAATTTTCCACTATTGGAACTTCCAAAATCAACTGTACCTTTGCAATACTATTTTTCTTAAATTGAAGAGTAATTTTTTTTTTGTAATTCTTGTTATTCTTGCAAAAACAAAATAAAGCAAAAATATTTCAAAATATTCATCCTTTTGCCCTGGCCAAGTGGGTCATTGGTTGGAGCATCGTCCCATTCACCAAAAGGTTGTGGGTTCGATTCCTGGTCAGGGCACATACCTAGGTTGCAGTTTCAACTCCCAGTCAGGGAGCATAGGGGAGGCAACCAATCAGTGTTTCTCTCTCACATAGATGTTTCTCTCTCTTTCTCTCTCCCTCCCTCCTTCCCTTCCTTTCTCTCTAAAAAATCAATAAACATATCCTCTGGTGAGGATTAACAAATAAATAAATATTCATCCTTTTCCATGATATTATGTATTATTCCTTATAGATACTTTGTTAGGGGGTTAATTTTTAATAACTTTTTATTTTGATATAATGTCACACTTAAAGGAAGTTGCAAGGATAGTACAAATGACCTGTCATAAACCCCTCCTCCAGGCTCACCAGTTGTTAACATTTGGTCCCAATTGCTTTATAATTGCTGTGTATGTATGTGTGAGTTTTTGTTTTAATCATTTGAGATTTTAAAAAATACACCATTCCCCTTTACCCCTGAACACTGCAGTATGCAGAGTTGCCCTTCTGTACCTGGGGGGGATTGGTTCCAGGACTCCTGTGGACACCAAGATCCGATGCTCAAATCCCTTACATAAAATGGGGTAATATGTGCATATAACCTATGCACATCCTCCTGTAGACATTAAATGATGTCTAGATTATTTATGATGCCTAGCGCATTGTACGTGCCACGTAAATAGTTATTATTCTCATTGTTCAGGGGTAACAACAAGGAGAAAAGCCTGGGCATGGTCAGTACGGAAGCAGCTATCACAGGCTAGCTAAGCAGTACACATTGGAATCTGCGAATGTGGAACCGCAGATGCGGAGGGCTGGCTGTTTCTCCTGAGAACGGGCGTTCATTTTATGTTACCGCGGTACACTTACGTTGAAATTTAGGCTAATTTAGCATTAAGATCATACTGTTACCTAAGCGACAGACTAGGTTTGGATTCCTCCCCTTGCTACAACGATGCTCTTACAGCTGGTTCCCCCAGTGCAGCCCCAGGACGGCCACTGCCTTCAGTGGCATGCCTGCCAGTCTCCTCTAATGTGGCAGCTCTCCAGGCTGTCTGTGTCTCTCATGACCTTGATACTTGTTTCATAGATTGTTCTCAACTTGAGTCTGATAGTTTTTAAGCTGCACTCTGAGAATGAATCTAAAGGGAGACCCCCTGTTTTTGCCCCCAGGACCTGGAAGCCGACGGGAGAGACTCCCATCAGCAGCCCGAAAACCTGTGCTCCAGGCTGAGGACCCGCAGGAAGACGCATCAGCTGTGCTCCGAGCCATCCAGGTGGAGAATGAAGCCCTGCAGAGGGCGATCCTGAGCAGAAGGGCCGAGCCCCCCACCAGCCAGCTGCAGGTGCCAGCGTGTTCCCCGGCAGGGGGAGGGGACCTAGGAGGACTCTGCTACTCGGGGGGTGGGGGTGGGAGCATGTGTCCGAGCAGCGCTGGCACAGAGCATGTGAGGAGAGTGATGTGTGGGCATCTCTGACCTCACACTGACCTGCACATTCATTGCTTACTGCATCGTCCCTCACCGCCTGCCAGAGGTTCCATTTCCTCCACCTTCCCATTTTCCGTTTCCTGCAGAAAGCCCAAGGTGGATGCCAATATGCCTCTCATCCTTGCCGATTTCCCTGCAAACCTGCCACCTTAGACTAGGGTTGCAAACTGTAGGTAAGAGAAAGGATGGAGTAAACGGGAAGCCCTGGCTTCTCTGGAAAGATGTCACTCCCAGAGCATGAGCCTGACAGGCCTCTGGGCCTCCCCACCCTGGCGGTCCTCTCCTGGCCTGCTTCACCTGCTCAGAAAACCTCCCTGGCCCTACAGTGTTGGAGTTTGTGCCTGCTGCCCTGGGCTTTGAGCAATAAGCAGGAGTAACAGTGGGGTGAGCAGGGCCCCTTGGGAGCCAGAGGCCCTGACGTGCTTACGTGTACACATCCTTTCTCAGAAGCACGCTCTCTGACTCGGCTGCTGAAACCTTTGACCTTAGCTTGTCCCACGGATGCTCACAGTAACCTTGAAACAGGCAGCACTGTTTCATTACCCTATCTACAGAGGTGCCAATGGCACCCAGGGAAGCAAGGTGGCTTACTCGGGCCGTGTCTTTGGAAGGGGCCCAGGTCTGCCTGCCTGCAAGCCTGGAGCCTGTCCACACCATCCATTGCTTCGCAGTCTCCACCATGGCCTGTTCTTTGGGACATTCATCGAGTGGCACCTGTTGTCTGTTTTCCTGGAGCTCAGTCCTTTCCTGGTGTCTGTGTGTAGGAGATCACAAGACAGCCCCTGCCCCTCTTCACCCTCATCTGTCAGTGAGGTGCAGACAGTGGATGGCTTTGTTCTGACCTCAGGTCATGTGATTACATCATTTCAGGGCGTGGAGGAACCCCCAGCAAAACCGTGGACTGGTCTGCTGAAGGCACAGGAGGAGAGCCCGGAGGTCAGTGGAGGCCCGAGAGGAACAGCAAAGCCCATGCCCACAGCACCTGATGCTCCAGAGAGCTTTCCTCATCACCCAGCAGGTCCCCCTGGGCACGGAGCTGTCCTGCCCATGCCACAGATGGGAAGGCCTGGCTGCAGGGGCTCAGCTCGGCCTGCTGCCTCCAGTTTCTTATTACATTTCTATTTCCTGACAAGACAACACCAAAAACAGATCTTGGCGTTCTGAGTAAATAAATTATAGCCCTATCTACCCAGGTCAATTAGACCTATCTCGGCAAATACAGGCGGGAATTAATAAAATGCCCGGGAATGTCTTTTAGGTTGTGCTCCAGTCTGTGCTGTGTGCTCAGCATACAGATCAGATTAGCCCCTGGCCTGGCGAAGCTTTCAGGCTACAAGCAAATGAAGCCATAAATAAACAGGTGACTTCAGGGAGATGACAAAAGCTGCCTGGGTACGGGATGGTGGCTCCCTCCGGCAGGTGGTCCGAGGAGGCCTCTTGGAGGATGTCCCATGTGAGCTGAGCCCTGTGTGTGAGGAAGGAGCCAGCCAGCAACAGGAAACAGCCTCTCAAGTAGGAGGAACAGGGAGCAGCTTTGAAGTGAGATGAGTTGGCAGATCAGGAAGAAGCCTGGTTTGGGGAGAGGTGGGGGTAGGAGAGGAGACAGCATCCAGTTGGGATAGAATGGTGTCAGGCAGCACCGAGAGCACTGTGGAGGTTTCTCTTTGTATCCCTCTCACTTCTTCTGCTGTTTCCTGGTCAACTTAAACTGTCCCTGGCTGATGTCTGGACAGGTCTGCAACACTGCCCACCCACCCTGTGCTCCAAGGTTCCTGGATGACCTGACCCCTGACCCACAGGGCCTCCAGTGACTGGAAGCATTTGCAGATAGAAAGCAGAGCATATCTCCAGTTTAGATGATACATGACAAAGGGGAAAAGGCGAAAGGGCCTAATGATGTTACTAGAATTCTCCATGGAGTCCCATTACGTTGTCGCAGATAGAACAGGGGTTGAGATGGGGAAAGGTGTTAACGAAATTTATTTTTAACTTATTGATTTTAGAGAGAGAGAAACATCAATTTGTTGTTCCACGTTTGTATGCATTCATTGGTTGATTCTTGTATGTGCCCTGACTGGGAATCACCCCCACAACCTTGGCGTGTGGGGCAATGCTCTAACCAACTGAGCTACCCGGCCAGGATCTAATTTATTTTTAAGGTTCTTAGGGCGGAGAGAAAGAGAGGGCCAAAGAGGAAAGGTACGCACCTTGAGGGAGGAAGAGGGGGAAAGGCACGGGCCTGAGAGAGAGAGTGCACACGAGAGAGAAATTTTTCAATATCTCATTGAAGCAGATCCTTTCCTGAGACTTCCCAGATCATAGAAACTGACATCCCTGTCTTTTTGCAAAGCTCATGGGAGGGGTGCTTGATCTCATCAGCCTGGGCAGACGCTGTCACTCTCCCTCCTGTCCCCTGCTTCCTGCAGTGGGACTGGAGGCCTGAGAAGTATGTCCCTTTGACCACGGCTCTGCTGTATCTTGGGCCAGGAGTGTCACCTCAGACATCTGTTTAATAAGCCTTTCCATCCTCAGCTGCTTCCCATCACCATGGAGACCAACACGGAGGAACCATCCCAGGCGGCAGGGGGAGCCAGAGCCGTCAGCGCAGCCATTGACAGGATCGGCCTTTTGGGGAGCAGGTACTTACCACGAGGACTTCAAAACCCAAACAGGAAACCAATGGCAGTGCAGCTGGGGGGCCTAGGTTACTCCAGACCATTTAAAACTGCTCCTTTAGACTGTCCCCGCCCTCACCCCCACTCTAGCCCTAAACGCAAAAGTGATGACTTCTTTCAGGCAAACATCTCATTGCTTGTTCAGTCAGTCCAAGCTGGGTAATGCTCCACCCTCCTCAAAGGTTCCCACAGGAGACCCCCCACAGGGGGCGGTGCTGAGTTTGTTCCCAGATGGCCTGGGGTGGGGCGGGGGCTGGCGGTCCAAAGTGGCACCCTTCTATTCTCTGTTAACGTTTGTTCTTCTGCTCCATTAACATGCAGCATCGGTTATTGGAACCGTCAGGTTTCATTATCAGAATTAAGGCTTTCCTCTAGTTTTCAGGCAAAATTGATCTTCTGAAAGCTGCGCCAGGCTGAGCCTATGTTCACAAGCACGCACTGGCCCACAGCCATGCCCGGGCACCGTGCGGAGCCTGCTCACTGTGGCTGTGCCCGTGCCCGTGCCGGCTGGGGGCGAGGGGTATGCAGCCTTACACAGCACGCGTGGGGGCGTTTGCAGACAGCACTGCTGGGTCTGGAACCCGGGGCCTCAGAAACCCGAGGTGCAGAGTGGTCTCTAGGCCAGGGGTTGGCAAACGTTTTTGGTAAAAGGCCAAATAGCCAATAATTTAGGCTTTTCACCTTTTGTGTGTTTGTCCTAACCACCCTTTAAAAATGTAAAAACCATTCCTAGCTTGCAGACCATCTGGAAACAGGCCACAGGCTGCGTCTGAGCTGCAGGCCGTCCTGTGTGGACCCCTGTTATAGATTTTTGTTGTTGTTGTTAATCCTCACCTGAGGACATTTTTTCCCATTGATTGTTAGAGCGAGTGGAAGGGAGGAAGGGGGGAGGGAGGGGAAGAGAGAGGAAGAAAGAAACATCGATGTAAGAGAGACACATTGATTGGTTACCTCCCACCTGCACCTCCGACCAGGGCCAGGGATTGAACTGCAACGCAGGTATGTGTCCTTGACTGAGACTGAACCCAGGAGGACCCTTTGGTGTGTAGGCTGGTGCTCTAACCACTGAGCCACTGGCCAGGGCCTGTTGTAGACTCTTACCAGTTACTGGTAAGCTTCAGCTGGCCATCTTGCCCCATGCAGTTTCTTTTATTTAACTGGTCTCATCACTGCTTTTGCGGTTATTTATAGAGGAAAACATCCCGTGTGCAGCTTTGAACTGTATGTGGGGTGAGTATAGTCGACCTTTGAGCAACGCGGGTGTGAACTGCATGGGTTCACTTATACGTGGGTTTTTTCAATAAATATACAGTTGGCTCTCCATACCCCGAGTTTTGCATCATGCATTCACCAGCTGCAGATGGAAAGCAGTGTTTGTGATCCAGGCTGGGCGTGCGCGATGCAGGCCGAGCGCGCACACTGTTCCACACCGTTCTATATGGGGACCTGAGCACCACGGAGTGTGCCATCTGCAGGGATCCTGGAACCAGTCCCACACCGACACTGAGGGACTGTCGTCCAGTTTGAATGGAGTCAAGAGTTATATGCAGATTTCCAGCTGCGTGTGTTGGGGGGTTGGTGCCCCTAACCCCTGCGTTGTTCAGGGGTCAACTGTACCTTTTCCTCACGTTGTCCCACGTCTCTGAGGTAGAACAGAAGTGGGGCTTTGGTGGGAATGTCCTCTGTGTGTAGCATGTGTTACCTGATTGCTAAAACAAGTCCCATTTCAGGCAGCAGCAGAAGCTTCTGGAAGTCCTCCGGGCCATCGAAAGCGACTCTGCCCATGTCAGCCGGGTGGCTTCACCAGCTGAGGAGCAGGTGCTGGCCCCAGAGGTGAGAACGAGCCCGCAGGGATGTAAGTGCCTTCACTGCCTCTCCTGGAGCTGAGGCTGGCAGGGCCCGTGTGCGATCATTTCTGTTCCGTGGGATTGTTCTGACAGCGGCCACCTCGGCGTCTTTCTGTCACGTGCATGTCCCCTCCTCCCCAGCACACAGACAAAGGTGTGGCCGAGCAAGGCCTTGCAGCCACTCCACACAGAGGAAATATAATAGCACGTGAGCCCCAAGGAAAAGGTCCAGCATCGCTGGTAACCAAGAAATGCAAGTCAGAGCAGCCTGCATGTCCCATTGGACATCCAAGTGAATAAATGACCTTGATGGTAACCTCTGGTGCTGGCAAGGTTACAGAGGCCGGCCGGCCTGCCCTGCTGGCAGCAGCGGAGATGGTGGGACGCTCTGGGAAAGCAGACGGGCTGGACTGAGGAAGAGCCTTAGAAATGCTTGTCTCCCAGCCCAGTGATCCCCCTTCCTTCCCCCGGGAAGTCACTCAGCAGCAATAAAAAGCCAGAGGCACAAAGGTGTCTGCTGCTGAGTTATTGGAAGTAGAGAAAAATGAGGAAAACACCCCAAAAATAACATAAATGTGTCTTAATAATGGAGGTAATCAGGAAAGTGTGATATATCGGCATAATGCAGTAGTATAAAGGGATGGAAATCATCATTATGGAGATTACCCAGAGAGAAAATGTTAAGGCTGCAAGGTAACTGCAAGAGGTGACATTAGTCTTCGTCCAGTCCAATGTGACAGCAGACACGGAGCGGGACTTCCGCTGCTCAGGAGGGGCCCAGGGAGGCAGGGTAATGGGAGTTCTTTCCTTTGTGTCAGCAGGTGAGAGTCCTGGCTCATCCGCCTCACCCCTCCCTGTAACCAAGCCCCTCTGATCTGGTTGGTGGTCACCAGTCTTTCTTAACACGAGTCTCCCAAAGTCGCATGCAAGACTCACAACCACAGAAAGCCCTGCACCCTCCCAGACGAGTCTCAGCTGTGCGTCTGGCACCACCTTGTTAGGGGTGTGAGACCAGTGTTGGTCTCAGATGCTCTGGAGCAGCGGTTCTCAACCTGTGGGTCGCGACCCCTTTGGCGGTCGAACAACCCTTTCACAGGGGTCACCTAAGACCACCTTGCATATCAGATATTTACATTACGATTCATAACAGTAGCAACATTATAGTTATGAAGTAGCAACGAAAATAATTTTATGGTTGGGTCACAACATGAGGAACTGCATTTAAAGGGCCAGAAGGTGGAGAACCACTGCTCTGGAGGGACCTAAATCTCGCGATTCAGAGCAGGAGTAGCCGTGGAGTTGCAGCACTGGAAGTCGTGACACTTCCTCAGTTAAGAGGCCCTTCAGCTCCTTCATTTGGAAACTCCCTGCGGGAGCTTGCGCTGAGATTGCACTGGGTGTGAGATCCAGCCGCCCCTCTGGCCCTTCTCCCTGCAGCCAACAGCCAGGGTGCACAGTGCTATGCCTTCACGCCTCCCACACCGCCTCCCGCACCACTCACCTGGCAGTGCCTCTCACAAGCACAAGCTTGTTAACCTCCCAGCCCCCACTTCAGCCAGGCCAGCTTAGGTGTATCACCATCCGTCAAGCCTGGACTCGGGCCCAGGGCAGCGGAGGGCTCAGCCAGCCCTGCACGGCACAGGAGCAGGAAGCCGGCACGGGAGCAGGAAGCCGGCACAGGAGGAGGAGGCTGTGGGTCTGTGTGCCAAGCTAATAAAAACGCCCGTGTTCCTTCTGGGAGCCATGAGCCGACCTCCCTCCCTCCCATCCTCGTCCCTATCGCGAGGCAATCAGGGCTCCTCCAAACACATACTGAGAGCCAGAGCACATGTCGCTGGCTATTAATTAAAAAAATAAGTAGGGAACATTTGCTGTTCATTTGCTCAGCTCCCTGCTCACAGAACCAGTGCCGATTACCAGCGCTAATTACCAGGGGGCATGTGCACACAGAATGCATCACTTTACGAGTGACTGATCCATGGCCACCAGCACTGCACTCGGCGCTCTGGGCGCCCAAGGTGCCTCAGGAGGCCATTCCACAGTGTGGCCGTTTACTGGGGGCATCCATGCAGCCTCTCAGACCGAATAGCCTGCCCACGAGGGAGGCAGGCAGCAAAACCAATGAAGGAGAGCCCTGGCCAGTGGGTCAGTTGGTTGGGGCATCACCCCACACACCAAAAGGTTGTGGGTTCATTCTCCTGTCAGGGCACATACCTAGGTTGGGGCTCAATGGTCAGGGTGTGTATAGGAGGCAACCGATCAGTGTCTCTCACATTGATGTTTCTCTCTCTGAAAATCAATAAACATATCCTCAGGTGAGGATTATCAGTAAATAAAGATGAACCTTGCCTACTTGAAAAAAACAACCAGTGAAGGAGAGAAATGGGGGGGATGGACACACAGGGCCAGGACGTGGGACAGGTCTGCTCTGGGGCTCGTATCTCACTTAGTCTTGGTGGCAGGTGGATGGAGCCATCTCCGATTCCTCAGTTAGACTGAGAGATGTCAAGTGGCTTGTCCAGGTCTGTGTTACCTACTGCGTTATTCTGCTGGGCCGGCCCTAACAAATACCACACTCTGGTGGCTTAAATAAGATTCATTTTCTCATACTTCTGGAGGCTGGAAGGCCACGAGCGAGGTGTTGGCAGGTGTGGTTTCCCCTGAGGCCTCTCTCCTCGGCTTGCAGATGGCCACCTTCCCCCTGTGTCCCCATGGCCGTTTCTCTGTGCATCCCTTGTGTCTTCCCATGTGTCCAAATTTCCTCTGATGAGGACATTGGTCAGAATGCATTCCCACTCTAATGGCCTCATTTTAACTTAATTACTTTTTAAAGGTCCTATCTCCAAATACAGTTACACTTTGAGCTGCTGGGGTTCAGCATGAATGTGGGGGGACCTGCCCAATTCAGCAGAAGTTGTGACATGCCTATGTAGTGGGGAAGAGGCATGCATGATGTTCAGACAGAATATGCTGCCTTTTTTTTTTTAATGTTACAAGGAATTATATTCTTAGATGAACATAAATCCAAAAGTTTTCTTTACAAACCAGCATAGGATAAAATTAATAAAAATAAAAAAATTAATTATAAGTCCCCCCCCCCCCAAATATGCTGCCTGTTAAGCAGGAAACACTGGGTGCCCACATACACAGTAGCTGTGATTCAGTCTTCACAAATCTGTGCTTGTTTAACCTTCACGGTAACATAGGTGCATAGTAACTGTAGGTACAGGGTGCTGCTCTTACCCTCAGGCACGGAGGGTGGATGGCCTGTAGCTCGGTGCTGGGGCTGGAGTCGGTCTGCCATGCTTCACCTTTGGCACCATGTTTCTCTCCTTTAAGGACAAGCTGTGGGTGAATGCAGAGGAGATGAAAGATGCCATCTACGTGACGATGGAAATCCTGTCCAACTGGGGCAACCTGTCGTGGGTGGGCCTCACCGAAGTCGAGTTCTTTGACCTGGACAACACAAAGCTGTACGTGTCACCTCATGACGTGGATATCCGTAACGCGGACATGCCTGGGGACCTGGGCCAGCTGGTCAACAGGAACTTGGCTGTAAGTGGAGGCAGCACTGCAGTGAGGCTTGGCCTTGCATTGGGATGCATCTTCTCTGCCCGTGACGTGTCCTCGCTAAAGGTGGGGTGTGAGCAGGGGACAATGCAGTCTCCCCTGTTGCTCATTTGGGCCACGTGGGAAGGAGCTGTGGCAAAGATGGGGGCTCCATACTGTCCCCCAAACTCTTCCCAGATCTCTGCTCTGCGGGGTTTTCTTGGGAGAGGGGACGAGGAGCAAGTTCAGCCCTTTTCTCAATCTTGCAGTTTAAGACAGTCACCACCAAACATGGGACCTCAGAGGTTATTGATGTCAACGAGGCTGTTTTGTGGGTAAATAAACTAAGGCTTTGAGAGGGCTTTGACGTAGCCAAGGCCACACAGCTGAAAGGTGGTGGGGCCGAGTGCACATCCTGCAGCCAGGCTGGTGCAGGGCCCAGGCCCACCCCCTCACCGTCCTGCTTCCCTAGAGCGTGGAGTTCATGCACCCAACAAACGGGAATGTTCCTTGTCTTTAAATATCTAACAGGTTTAAAAAAACATCACTGGCATTTTCTCCTCTTGCCACTGCAAGTGGGCACGAGGCTGTGAGCTAACCTGAGACAGGATGCCTGGCAGCGCCGTCTTGGCCGTGCTGTGCCTCCCATCCATCTCTGGGAGGGGCTGGAGATTGGGAACAGAGGTGCCTCTGGGCCACAAAACGGGTGAGCAAGGGATAGGGGCCACGGGAAGACTTTCCCTTGGGTGCTCTTTTGCACCTTTTAAATGTCCTCCCACGTACATGTAAAAAGGTATGGAAACTGAGAGCAGCCACCACGTGCTTAGTGCTTGCTGTGCCAGGCATGGCCATGCGACCTGATTTAGACCTAAGAGTGCATGGGCTCGAGGAGCGGAGAGGCCGGGCTTCACAGCTCACCACTTCAGCTTCGTGACCCCAGGCAGCTCACCTCACCTCTACTTCAGTCTCCTCATCTGTAAACTGGGGATGATAAGAATACCTACCTTGACACAATGTTGTAAGGATCAAATGTGAATATTTGGAGCTTAGTACCAGGTCTGGATCTTCCTAAGGCTCCAAAAATCAGCTGTCAGTGTTTGCAGTGTTTTATTATTAACAGTATTAATAGCACTAAGAAGTGGGTATGACTATTCCCATTTTAAAGGAAACAAGAAGGGGGCTTTGAAACGCCCAATTCTAGAGTTCCAGGTGTGGCCTTGGCACCTTCTCCAAGTCTGTTTCTCTGCCCCTGTAAAATGAGAGGGAGGGGCGTAGATGGATTCCTAATTTTGATTCCTAATTTCTAGTAACAGAAACTGAGTCTGGCTCATTTTAGCAAATTCTTGAAAGAACAATTTATTGTCTGAATTGTGAGTAGCTGGTGTGCTCACTGCCCCCAGGCCAGGAGAGGATAGGCCATAGTCATGGCGGCTCCCGGCAGCGTTCTGGATGCATGTGCACCGAGGGTTTGTTTGGTTATCTTTGAGGGGAGATGGGCAGTGTTTTGTTGGTTGGTTAATTGGACAGTTGGTTTGTCATCACTCTGCCTGAGGAATCCAGTCCAGGAGAGGAAGGCTGGTGGACCAACTTGGCTAGGAGGCCGGCCACCTTGATGCCAATGCAACCAAGATGCCCCAGGGGAGGAGGAACCCTCCCTGAAGAAGCTCAGGGTTGTTACTGAAAGAAAGGCAGGACAGATGCTGGAGGGCCGAGAGGCCCCAACCTCCACAGGTGGGGCCGCAGCAGCTCTGTGACCCTGAACCTTGAAAGAAACTCCCCTCGGGCACAGCCACGTGGGTGCCCTGGCCTCGCACGCCCCGCTCTGCTTGCTGCTTCAAGTTCCCAGGCTCCCATGTGTGCCAGCCCCAGCCCTTGCCACCTCTCCAAACCCTCTTTGCCCAAAGCAGTGGCATTTGGGAAGCTGCTGTGCAAAGCAGAGCATACCAGGGCCTGTAAAAAGCATCACTGAGTTTGGCGCGGACCGATTCTGACGATTGCTCTCCCTTCTCCTCCGTTTCGCAGAGGCTGATGAGCTTTGCTGTGTGAGAGCAGTGAGAACTCCAGCCGTGGTTTTTGTGGGTTTGGGCTGTTTTCTTTTGGGCCTAAGGTTGGGACATAGGCAGCTGCCTTGCCCTGGCTGTTGGATCTCTGGGTCCAGCTGTGGGTGGGCTGGGTTCCCCCACTGCACTGGCCTGAGGTCTCCCTGATGTCGTCCCGTGTGCCAGGCCCAGGGCTACCGAACACACTGCCTCTTAGATTCCCTGTGGGTTGAATCTAATGACCCACAGTATGCCAGCCAGACACCCCTCATCTAATCCTCCCATGGACCCTGGGTCACTCTCCACATCTGCTAAAGGAGGAAAGCAAGTCTCAGGGAAGATGGGTGACTTGCTCAGGCCACATCGCTGTGAGTGGTGGGGCCGCTGAGAGCTGGACAGAGGTAATGGAGTGAGGGCTGAGTTCAGAAGAGAAGCTGCTTGAAGAGTGAGTTGCCGGAAGATAACTTTACTGGTGAATCCAATGTTACTAAAGAATTAACACTAGTTCCTTACATTCTCTTCTAAAACGTAGAAGAGGAAGAAACACTTCCCAACTCATTCAATGAGACCAGTATTACCCTGATACCATAACCAAAGATTTCACAAGAAAACTACAGGCCAACATCTCTTATGAATATAGATGTAAAATCTTCAACAAAACACTAGCAAGTTGAATCTGGCAGTTTAAAAAAATATTTATACATCAAGACCTCGTGGAGTTTATCCCAGGAGCACAAGGTTTGTTCAACATATGAAAGTCAATCAATAGACCGTATTAATAGACTAAAGGGGAAAATAACCACATTACATCTTAATAGACACAGAAAAGGCATTTGACAATGAACACCCTTTCATGATAAGAACAATCAGCAAACCAGGGACAGAAGGAGACATCCTTAGCCTGGCAGAGGTCATCTGTGAACACCCACAGCGAACATCACACTTAATGTGACACTTAATGTGAAAGACTGAACGCGTGCCCCAGATCAGAAACAAGACCAGTATGCTTTCTCATCACGTCCATTCAACACTGCCCTGGAGAAGCCACCTGGGGCAGTTAAGTAAGAAAATAAAGTAAAAGTTGGAAAGGAAGAAGTAAAACCACATTTGCAGGTGATGTGGTCGTATACATAGAAAATCCTAAAGAATCTACAAAAATTACTGGTAAAGCTAAAACTAAGTTCAGCAAGTTTACAGGATAAAAGATCAATATACAAAAATCAGTTGTATTTCTATACACTAGCAATGAACAATCTGAAAAGGAAATTAAGAAAACAATTGTATTTTTATAGTATAAAAAAGCAAAATATGTTAAGAATGAATTTCACCAAAGAAATGCAAGACTTCTACACTGAAAAGTACAAAATAGTAACGACAGAAATTGAAGACCTAAATAAATGAAAAGACACCAGTGTTCATGGATTGGAAGAACTAATGGTGTTAAAATGGCAATGGTTTCCAAATTTCCTACAGATTCAATGCAGTTCTATCAAAGTTCCAGTTGTCTTTTTTGTGGAAATTGGCAAGCTGATCCTAAAATACATATGGAAATTTGAGGGACCCAGGATAACCAAAACAACATTGGAAAAGAAGAAGAAATTTGGAGGACTCGCACTTTCCAATTTCAAAACTAACTACCACGTTACAGTGATCAAGATTGTGTGATACTGGCATAAGGATGGGTATAAGTCAATGGCATCGAGAGTCCAGAAATAAACATATACATCTCTAGTCAATTGATTTTCAACAGGATGCCAAGGCCATTCAATCAGTTAGGAATAATTTTCTCAACAAATGCTATTGGGACAACTGGATTTCCACTTGCAAAAGAATGAGGTTGGACTCCTACCTCACACCATGTATACAAACTAACTCAGTGAACCAAAGACCTTAAATATAAGAGCTAAAACTATAAAACTCTTAGAAGAAAACACAGGTGTAAATCTTCATAGCCTTGAATTTGTCAACGGAGTCTTAGATATATGACACCCAAAGAACAAGCAACAAAAGAAAAAATAGATAAATCAGACTTCATCAAAATTACAAACATTTTTGTTTCAAAGGATACCAGCAAGAAAGTGAAAAGACAACCTATAAAATTGGGAGAAAGTATCTTCAAATCAAATATCTGATAAGAGTCTAGTATACAGAATATGTAAAGAACTCTTAAACTCAACAATGAGAAGACAACAACCCAATTAGAATATAACCAAAGTACTCTGAATAGACATTTCTCCAAAGAAGATATACAAACGGCCAACAAGCACATAAAAAGATGCTCGGCATCACGAGTCATTAGGGAAATGCAAATCCAAACCACAAAGATACATCACTTCACACTCACTAAGGTAGCTATGATTTAAAAAAAGAAAAGAAAAAGGGAAACCACAAGTATTGATGAGCATGCGGAACAATTGGAACCCTCACATCTTGCTGGTGAGAATGTCAAAGTAAGGTATACCCTTGGCAGGTTTGGATCAGAAGTTAGAGTGTCCGGCCCTTGGACTGAAGGGTCTTGGGTTCAATTCCTGGTCAAGGGCACGTGCCTTGATTGTGGGTTCAATCCCTGGCCCCCAACGGGGCTCTTGCAGGAGGCAGTTGAAGGATGTGTCTCTTTCACATCAGTTGTTTCTCTGTCCTCCTCTCCTCCCTCCCTTCCCTTCTCTCTGAAAATCAATGGGGAAAACATATCCTCCAATGAGGATTTAAAAAAAAAAAGTAAGGTGTAGTCACTGGGGAAAATAGTTTGACATTTTCTCAAAAAGTTAATGTAGAGTTAATATGTGACCTAGTAATTCTCTCTCTCTCTCTCTCTCTCTATATATATATATATAGATATAGATATAGATATAGATATAGATATAGATATAGATATAGATATATCTCCAAGAGATTTGAAAACATGTTCACACAAAAACTTGTACACATATATTCACAGCAGCATTATTCACAATAGTCCAAAGGTAG